AAAAAAAACGAGCACAAATATGTGCTACAATGGAAGATCTAGGTAGGTACGGTATGGTACGGTAGACTGCGAGGCGGACCCACTTTCTGCACCCGTTTGCATACCCATGCATTCTCACTCTGTGTGGCAAAGCCAAGGATTGTGAGGCACAACTACTTTGCTTTTGGGTGTGCGTTGGTGGTGCCTCGACAGTGCATCGGTGCTGGGACAGTTTTTTTGGATGATCTGGAGAGGCCAGTGACAGGATGCAACCAGAATCTTCAGAATGTGATATCAATTCCAAGTAGAATATGGCTTAACAACTGCTCGACATATGAGCAGATATTCTTGGTGCTCGGGGGTTGGTCTCCAAACCTTCTTTGTTCACTAAGGGCTGGCCCAACTTCTTCAGTTCGTTTCAATATGTCAACCATAATGGTACTACAATCGGAAGTTCACCCATCGGAAGTTCCAGGTATGTCAACTGCAGGTATGTCCCTCGCTTCCTGACTCTCCAGTCTTCCAGGATCTCAATTCTCCGCAGTCCTGTTGCGTTGTGTCACGTGTGTCGCACAGCCGGTCAGCTGGACGTGGCTTGTTTGCCTCGTACAGGGGTCGGTCAGCTGGACAGTCGCAGCGGAGATGAGGTCCGCGGTGGTAGTGTATAGTTGTAGGTGATACATGGTGGTTGGATCCCTGCATCTTCCAGTCGGGGTAGTGAAACCCCATTTTCTAGACGATTTGTAGATGTTTCTCTAGATGATTATTGGTTGAACAACCCGTTTGTGCTAATATCAAGGGAGATGTGGTTGGTGACATCACCACATACACCATTTGGTGGTGGAGGAGGATGAAGGGGCAGGCCTGCAGGGCCAGGTGCCTGCCCCGAGGGCAGTTTGGGGGAGGGAGATGACAAGACATTAGAATGTTAGAACTCTTGAGGAGGGTCCAGGACATCTATGAAAATGCACGGAATCGGAATATGTGCATGTGTAAGCCCTGGGTTTAAGATGGTTTAAGAACAAGAAAGCTGGGCCGAGGGGAATGGTGCCATGGGCAGAACCGGCTTGCAGACTTGCCAGATGAAACAGGCTTGGCAGGCTTGCAGGTCTGAGGTGGTGGAGGTAAGCCTGGTCTTTGGCAGCCTACATGCAGTTCTGAAAGCCACTGTACCACCTGCCCACCACCAACCCACAGCAGCGACATGCACGGCCTAGCACTTATGAAGGCCAACGTGTACGCAAGAGACACTTTTCATCAAGGCCGTTGCTTGCAACGTTGCTTGCAATGGCAATGTCAGACTCGCCGGCGTATCTTGTGCACTCAGGTGGATCGAATGGCACACCCTTTCTAGTGAACCCTTGGCACCCATGGAAGCTGAGGTTGATGCACAGCAACTCCGGCAAGAGCACGACCCCATGCAGGAGCATTTTAGGACAGTTGATTGCGCCTGTCAAAAGCCCCCTGCAGTAGCACTTTTGGAGCCCGGTCTACCTGCTTGCATGCAGGACCCGCAAGCTAACCATGAAGAGCTGCCATTTTTGAGCAGCTCCTCAACACTTTGAAGGATGATAGATGGATGTGGTGGGAAATCATGGAAAGCCTCACACATCCGAAAGTTGCTGAAGATTCCGCCAGGCACACATACTCCAAGCTCCAATCCCTTCATGTCACCTGTCTAGACTGAGCAAGCCATGTGCGGCCTGCACCTGAAGGCCTGCACCATGTGCCAACCGGCACTTGCTTTTTTCTGTCCACAAGTATTGAAGTCTTTCCAATGGGTGGCGTCTTTCGGCCGGACTTGTTGCCGTGCCATGCACTCTGGCAGCGGCCCGCTCTTCCAGCAAAGGAGAGGCCAACATGCCTGCAGTAGCCAGCAACGGTCAGAGCAACATTCATTGATTCTGCATGATAGCAATCAGCACGTTCAGGTCTGAGGCTGCCAGTGGAGGCTAAGAGGTTCAGGGCATGGTATCATTAGAACAGCTCTGCTTGTATCTTACTTCCTTTGCATGCTGCTTTCTTGGCAAAGAATCTCAACATGTAAGTGGCAGGTGCTTATGAAGTTAGTATCCCTGGTGGTATCCCAAATGGACCACTCTCTGAAGTCCTTCACTTTATTTTTTTTCGCAGCGGAAACGGAATCGGTGTGTTTTGTTAGTAAAGCGGCCCGGACTACGACGAGTCAGGACTTCGAGACGTTCCTAGGTGATCATCAACTCGATATTCATCGGGGTTGAGGTGCAGATGAGTCTGGACCATCCGGAGGGATTGCCCTTGGCAGTGAATGTGTCGCTGGGCAGTGAATGTGTCCTTGACAAATATAGACTTAGTAGATGATTGGACCGTGGACGTAGCCTCTTAGGGCAAGATTATACAGCTAGAATGTAACATACCTGAACTATATGTTTGGCTGGTTGCATGTCATGTCCAAGATTCCTGTGGCCGCCCGTGAACCAGAGCTCGATGCGGCCCAGTAGCTGATTTTTGTTCAGTTGTGGGTGAACTGCTGACCATGATTGACCATGTCATACAGTTTACCGAGGTACGGAGGTTATGTTTTTCTTTCTGACTTCAATAAAAAAGGGTTGTGATGCCGCCCTATTAGGGCACCGCCGTGGAAAAACCCCCATGGTGTTGTTCATCTGAGGATCCAGTGGTCCCTGAACTTGTGGTCCTTTTCGTTGGTTTAAGACACCCATGGGGTGGTTTCCCACTCTCCATCCGAGGATCCAGTATTCCTTTGCCACGTTCTTCGTTTTAGAGCTGATCCTGCGAATTTGTGCGGATGGGCGCCGGTTCTTCTGCGGCGAGGATTGGAAGTGGTCATGGCTGGATATATTTGTAGTGAGACTTGAAGCAACAAGTGTGAGAGACAAAGAGTCAGGACCCTTTATCTCTACAAAAATGCTGGGGGGATGTGCAAAAGTCTAACCACCTATTTAACAAAGAACATGTGGAAACGCCTTGCTTTCCCGCCAAAAAGGCTCAAACTCGCCACGGAGGGGAGGGGGTACGAGTTCAGCTCGAGCGAACCCGGCCCGTTTTGGCGCTTGCGAGGGGCAAAATACCAGGCGGAGCCTTGACTTGGCTCGTTGACGTGCCCATGCGCTGTTTGGACGACTTAGATGTTCGATCTGCCTGTGGGGTTCCAGAACACCTCCCCCCACCGCAGATGGTAACTACCAAATGAGCATTTGGACGGCCCTTTTCCGGTTGAGGATGATCAGGATGGGCCAGTTAAGTGGACATTTCGGTAAAACCACTACGTGCCAATACGTGCCAGGTTACTTTAGAGCTTGGCAAACGCCTTTCAACTGTGGCACCTCGTTTACAGTAGCTCACTGGTGATTTTACTCCCAAACACTTCCTGCAATCACCACAGTTATCCGATCCAAGGATGACCTCCTTGTGGGAAGTCTTCGCAGATGTTTTGGTGGCTTTCCAGATTGAGGGCATGAGTGGCTTGAAGGCTCTCCGGATCATGCGGATTACCCGTATCATGAAGGCCGGATGGGAGGATGGGCGTTGCGGAGGGCGTTGATTTTGCTGTGCCGAGGGCAGATGGGAGGATGTGTGTGTGTGTTGTTCTTGTTTTTATTTTGATGCGTGTGTGTACCTAGAGCCCTGACATGACCTTTGTACCTAGGTGGTCCAAAATAGAGGTCACTCATGGTGTGTGTGTGTATGTGTCAACCCCCGTGTCTAGGGGCTCTATGTAAGCTTTCTTCTTTCTATTAATCAGACTTTTCATTGTACAGTTTCCACGCAGGGGGCAGAGAGGACTTGCAAAGCGTTGCCCAACGAAGCTCTTTGCAATGTCCTAGGAAGCGGAAGCTGATCACTTCCGTGTACCTGCAATTTTTAACATTCCTTGACGTTGGCGATTCTACATAGATCTAATGCTGTCTCATATAGGGTGTTTTGCAATAAGGTGCTAAAGCTCTCGGCTAATGCATTAACGTAAGGTGCTAATGCTCACCGTGCATCTCTGAAGCACAGCTCCGCGGAGCACTCATCTTAAGTGTGATGCGCAGCTTCTTCCCACTGTGGTAAGCTGTGTGAACCCCAAGAGGGCGCCGTTACTGAGTCTCTTACTCCTTTGCGGGAGAGAATGCACTGTACAGTCCATTGAGGACCTCAGACAACCGAAGCAGACATTCTCTCTCGAATATTTGGAAGTCGCTTCACCTTCGTATCTATGAAGTTTTGCTGCAGAGCTCACTGATACCTGACATCTGAATTCCTCTCACACACGAAGATTGCTATTGATAATGTAGTGTATATAGCATATATATATATTTCCTGAACCCTCCGTCGTAGCAGAAAAAAAGCGACAGACAAAAAACTGCACCTCATCAAAAAAAGCGTTCATGCCTTGAAAAAGCGTACCACTGGAAAGTCAGATGTAGCTTCATTCCACCTTATGTGGTCTTCAAGTCCATTCCCCTGCCACATGCTAGCACCCATCCTATGCACACACAGCACACGCTCACACTACAAAACGGCAGCCAGCAACCCCTTTCTTTGATCTTCAGTATCAACATAAAAGACTTGACTTAAGTAAAAAAACCATCCGCCACTTTTAAATTGCGCCCGGGTTGCGGGAATTTGCGCCCGGGTTGCGGGAATTTGTGCCCAAGTTGCGGGCACCCTTTTTGGAAAATGTGTTGTAAAGCACGCCCAGAAGGTTAGAACCAAACCTTTGTGGTTTCATTTGCACATACTAGGACAGGTCATATAGGATTTCCACCCGGTCCATAGGGCCCCCAAAGGCCCACAAGGGTTGATAAGGACACTGGTCAGGAACCAGTAGGCTTTAGAATGTACAACACCAAAAAACGTTCATATGTCCTGAAAAGTGTACATACCCTCAATTAACGCTCAAACTTCCAATAAGTGCTCCAAACCATGGTTCGCCAGAAATAAGTGTTACAAAGGATGCTTCAGGTTACCATTATATATATATACACATATCACTTTGATAGCAACAATAAAACATAGCAACAACAACAATGAATATACGTATATCACTGATTAGCATCATGCGAAGTGTAAGAAGAACAACATAGGCGTATATAAAAACAATACATGTTGTCAAGACCTCATCTCAAAACAAAATTTTCCCAAACTGCAGTGAACATGGTCTGTCCAACAGCACCATGATTTCCAGACCTGTTTTGCTCATGGATCTCTGTGTTTCACTGGACTTGTGGTCCCTACGACCAGTGAGTCCAATGATCCCACAAGACAGGAGCCGAGGATCTGGTTCCCTTACTCCGACGATGCATGGCACGCTGCTAGCCCATGGCTTCTGTCTATCAGAAGCATCACCAGAACGAGTTCTGTGAATAGTTCCGAACTTAAGGCACAACACCCGCGATTTGGAGGGTTTATAATATACGATTTTCCTTCCACCACGTGGCGACTCATTGGTGTGACTCAATCACTGGCCAGATGGAAAGTGCATAAAAGTCAAGTGCGCTCACGATGGTGAACATCTGCAACCTCATGCAAGTATACCAGTGATCCAGTTGAATGACCGCAGGTAGCGGAAAGGACCAAAGCAGACAATCCAGTCATGGGCCCTTGATTGGAGATGCCCCGGCTGGTGGCTGTGACCCACTCATACTATATGCTATGAGACAGCCCTGGGAAGCAAGGGAAGCAAACATGATAACTACACCAAATTCGTTCACCAAGGGCGTAGACGTACAACTGGATGTGTTATTTTTCAGTTGTTTTATGTGTTTAACGACATTCATCCCAAAACGCAAGTGTTGCAGCCCCATCCCCTGAGCAGATCTCTTGAAGTCATGATTCAGATGGTTTCTATACAATAGACGCGCCTGTTGCCAGGTGGTTCGCCTCATGCGCGTCTTTCGTTTCGTCATGGCCTTCCGCACCTTGATCGCCTCCATCTCAGACACGCCGCTCGGCGTGCGCGTGGCCATAAAGTAGTCAACGAGTTTGGTCAGATGAAGACATGACCAAAGCAGGAAGACGGGTCCTTTAAATTGAATCAGAGGCAAATGATTTGGATGTCAATGGGTAGATGTTCTGAAAGGCCACTAGGAGGAGGAACACTGACATAAATCCACTCAAACTCAGCATGGTTGGTATTCCTGTTGGAACTACATCACACCTCCACAAGTTTCTCTCATCTAGTTCTAGTTTGCCAAACGTAGTTTGTCCAGAAGTTCAAAGTTTGAAGTCGTTGCTACGACACGCAAAGCAAAAACACCTCTCAAGCATCATAGGTTTTTGATCCATGCCCATGTCCAAATACTGTATGCTAGTGGATCAAGACCTTTACGCAGAAAGCATGGCAGGGGAAGGTGAGTCATAAGCCACATATGAGAGTCCAATCCAAGCTTGCCACCCCAAGCCTCTTTGGTTTAGGCTCAAGTCCCTGTTCTGGGCCCTTATGCTGCTGGCGGTGATTATTTACGTCTTCGCGGTGCTGTTTACGCCTCCTGCCGCATTTGACTGTTGCTGGTTTCGCTTCCTGTCGGGCATGTCGGGCAGGCAGACATGTTGAGAGAGACCCGATTCTTTGGTTTGTCGTTGATTCCTCCTGAAGCGGAGAGATGTTGAATACATTCAATCAAGAATAGCCCCGCCTTAAAGGACGATCTTTGGACAAGAACAGCCATGACATGAGGATCAGCGGGTTGTTTGCTTCTTTTTCTTGTTATGGTCCAACGGCTCAGATCCCCAGCTGTGTGTTCTTTTTCAGGAATTTGAGGCAAGAGCTTGGCTCGGCGGGAATACTAAGATGTCATGAATCTAAAGCCTTCCACTTAGATATGCTTGAGAGTTGTAGCGCTTGTGAGGCTTTGAGATTTCCTGGTCGAAGCAGGCAAATGATTAGAGTAGAAATCTCAACATGTGTGTGCAACAACTCAGTGGGGGGATCGCCTCAGCAGACGGGCCTCCATGTGGCGATCGCTATGACAAAACTCAACCAGCGAAAATGCACAGATCGAAGACCTAAGGAGGTCAACTGACCCGTTTGGGCTCCGTTCGTCCCGCCCCCTCCGTTTCGGTTCGGTGGTTGGTTGGGGTAGGTGTCGGGGGCTCTCTACCCTCTACTCACCTGAAATGTTCGCTTGGACGTCGTCGACCCCGAAGGTCGGTATGACTGGGATCCTCCTAATTGATTTCTGTTGATGGCCCAGGCTCGCTAGTTGGACACTGCTTAGAGGGTCCTGCTAAACTTCTGGAATCATTCGATGGCCCAGTTTGGAAGACGTCTCCGAGGCAGGCAGTCAATGACTATGTCTTGGACACCGATACTCCGAAGCTTTCTCCACAGAAGCAAGAAGCGGTGAATGCTGCCATCGAACGCTACTTTAGCTCGCTCTGCCGGGGCACCTGGGGGAGGGAAAAAGGCCAAGGACGGACCTGGAAGAGCCCTCTACAGATGCGGGATAGATCCCAGGGAGCTTTGGACCTGTTCCAAGCACCCTGCAGGTCCTGTAGCCCTACAGGTCTGACCTATCCATGTCTCCTGGGAAACGAACACGCCGCGCGCGGAGCCTGGCAATCGCGCGGTGCGCGGCCCAGTTGATACCATGCTGAGCCTCTTCATGGCCATTGCCAATGGCGTCAGTTGGCACGAGCTGGTGGAGCCATTGAGGACGGAGAAGGGTGGCACGCGTGCGTCTGAACGAGAGAGAGAGAGAGAGGTGCGTGTGTACATATGATATATACAGGGATATATGATATATGCATGGAGAGATGCATAGAGAGATATACAGGTCCAAGTTGGGAATTGTGGGGACTGGTTGCAACTAACTTGTAGTTGAAATGTTGAAACACATCGTATTCAATGGTTATATAACAGAAAGTCTTCTCGTGTTTGTGTGGTCCTGTTGATGATCCACTACCATCCTAGAATGCCAAAACCTCGAGCGGAAGTATACACTCGCTATAGTTCACGGGGCCAGCTGTGCTGAGAAGCCATGATCGACCTGCTTCATGTTGGGTCACCAACAGCCACACGGCACCCAAGACAAGGGTTGGGGGGGTCGAACCACCTTGACCTGTCGGGGCTTGAATCCTCGGGGTCAGTGGTGTTCTAGATTGTTCTTGTTTTGTATGAACAACTCCAGTAAAATGACTCCTACAACAATGAGGAGGTGGTTTTTCAGATACAAAAACGGAGGTCCTTCCGGGTCGCGGATTTGGAAAGTGATGTCATTCACTGACCTCTAGGGAGGGTATTCCTTTGTAGCAGTCCAAGAATTGGTCAGCCTTGAAGGATTGACCGGATCCACCCTACTGTGCAATCCTGTGGGACCAAACACCGAAGAGCCAGATTTATTGGTCCTGTTAGGAAGCATTGATCTTGACATATCTTGACATGGGTGCTAGCAGACCCGCCCGGAGACCATGCGAAAAGAAGCGACCACTCTCGCGCGAAAGGCTCAAGATCTAAAGGGTCACTTGGGGGGCCCTCAAGAGGTCAGATTGAACAAACTGGTGCTGTTGCTCTAGAATCGCAAGTCCGCTTCACACGAGTGGGGAGCATTGTTTCAAGGTCAAAGCCAGGAACCTGTTAGTTTGAGCCTAGTGACTGAAAACCGGACCCATTTTTACATGTCTTTCGACGTTGGTCATGTCATGGCGTGGTGTCATGTTTGTTATGTGGGGGTAGGTGGGGTGAGGGTTTGGGGGGCGGAGAAATTTGCGTCGGTGATTCACGCGTGGGACATTGACCGATTCAGCAACCAACCGAATCAGCAACTGCCATTCGGCAACTATACGCGACTCAGCAACCATGCATCAGCAGCCAACTGGTACGATTCAGCAACCGCGCTTCAGCCACTACGTCATTCAGCATGATTCAGCAATCACACTTCAGCAGCTACACGATTGGCGCTTCTCTGTCCTGGTAAAACTATTTGTTGAAGGCTCCGACCTGTTCAAGAAGACAGGCGCCGCGTTGCGCCGCCGCTGATTCGCTCGACAAAGGCATCTCTGTGAAAAAAAAAGATGAACGCAGAGTTTGACTGGGGAGAGCGTACGCTTGACACTCAATCCGTACGGTAGTTGGATGACATTAGGATCCGATGTCGTCCCCACCTGGCTGCACCAGGAGCATCCATGTTGTGTGGGTCGCCCTGTTCCTTTTCTACATCTTTTTCACTTATTTTGCTGTCCTCAACGATGCTTGGTTGCAAAAAGGCGGAGGCGCCATGTTTTTTACCATCCCAGACGCCACCCATGGGACTGGCAATATATGGCGATCAGGCCAGGGGTGGGCAATGAGGGGTCAATGGGTTTCCCATGAGTCGTGTCTGGGTTCCGCTGTAGTCGTAGCGAGCCACACGTCGCGGCCCTACGGCCAAGGTTGTGACGGCGGTGTTTTGCCAAACAGCTCCTTGGCGATGAAGGTGTTTCATGGTGAAACGGGCTCAACCCATAGGGTCAAAGGGTACCTCCTTTTTCGAACGGTCGAACCAGGGTGAAGAGTAGGTATATAGCGACGGACTGAAACATAGAATGCCTGGCAAAAAGCTGAAATGAAACTTA